CTCGGACTTTGGTCATGTGCACCAAACTTTTGATTTCTTCATGAGGCCATGCAATACTTCATACAACAATGCTTGTCCCTCTAAGGCCCGTCACGACTCAACGTTATTTTACGCTTCAGTTGGTCACTAGATACGAGATCGACATCTCACATATGTACGTCTTTGGTTGTGTTGTTCATGTGCCGCTTTTACGTACCAACATGGATCCTTAGAGAAGATGTGAATCTATGTCAGATATGATTCTCATTCAATAGTTCATTACTTAGAACCTTTAACATGCAATCTCTTTGACACTCGTTACGCGAATTGTCACTTTTATAAGGCAGTCTTCCTGTTGTTAAGGAGAGATAAGAACTTCACTGTTTTGGAATAACGACGTGAATTATCATAGATGACTCCCACTAAGTCTCATTTGGATCCTCGTACTGCACAATCTAAAACTAAAGTGCAAAGAATCCTAGATCTTCAACGCTTGCTAGATCTTTTATCGATCTAGCGAAAGTGACGAGATCACATATACAAGCTACAAATATGCCAACAAAGATTGACGTAGCGTACGAACGTCGAACTCATATTCTAGAAGGATGCCATGAATTCTTTAAGTGGATTGCCCCACCTCGCGGACGTGCCTAACACCTTGGAGGCTAGCCAATCAAGTGCTCCCACCCAGAATGTGGTAGACCAGTTGGTTTAAAGGATTCATAACCTCAAAAGAGGAAATCCTCGACACATGCTAGTGAAAATGGCGTGAATTTGACCATCGCCTACTCATCCTAGATGACGAAAATGTCCTAGAAAAAATGAATCCACCTCTAAACAATCGAGAGATATTGGTTCTTTATGCTAGCTTGGATGATATATAGGTATGGAATGAAATGATAATCAACGATGCGATAAAATATGCAGTAGTTATTGAAAGCATGCAGTGTGATGACATAAAACCCTGTTTCGTTGATCAATGTCTACGTCGAACCGATTGGTCAAACTAGAAACAATCAATCCAGGTCAAACTTGATTCACTTGCAAAATGCAAGGTGTTTGGACTTGTAGTTCCTACACTTCCACATGTGAAGGCTACAAGTGAGTTTGCATAAGAAAGCGTAATGAGAAGAATCACATCGTGTGATACAAGGCTCACCTTGTTGCTCAAGGATTTTCTCAACGTTCTGGAATTGACTATAACCAAGCTTATTAGCCAGTCATGGATGTGATAGTGTTTCACTATCTTGTCAGTATGGTAGTTTTCGAAAAACTGGACATGCAACTAATGAACGTGGTAACTGCATATCTTGATGAGATCTTAATATGAAAATCAACATGAAAATTTCAGAAGAACTTCCATTCACTGGATCAAATAGTTTCAGACCATGGAACACCCTTTCGAGGAGTTCACTCTATGGATTGAAGCAATGCGAATTGATGTGGTATAACCATTTGAGTGAGTATTTGACTAGTCAGAGATATATGAACAACAACCTATGCCATTGTGTGTTCATTAAAAAGTCACATATCAGATTTGCGGTTGTTGCAATTTATGTTGATGACATGAACCTCATTGAGACTCTAGAAGAGCTCGAGAGAATCACCACGCACTTGAAGTTGGAATTGGAGATGACAAATCTAGAGAAAACTCGATATTGTCTTGGCCTGGAGATTGAGCATCGTTCAAAAGGTATTTGTAATACTCTGAATATTTAGAAATTATGTGGATTCATTTATTGTTTAGGTGGATGAAATCAGAAATAGATCGATTTATGGTTATGAAATTCGAATGGGGAAAATGTGAAATCCCGCTTTCGGATTAAGAATTAATTATGTCGTATAATTTTTCATTAAGTGGGGAATGATGAAAATGCCCTATTTGGTTAGTGTAATTATACGAGGATGTATTTTATCCTCATATATTTTATTGTAATTCTTGATATATATTTGAATAGAGGACGACCTTATGAGCGCGTAGGTGCAAACGGATCTTAATTCCGAGTTAGAATGAAGAAGTTATGAGCCTCGGAAGTAGTAAGACCTTTTAGACACTTGGACTTACTATTAGTAGTAAGTCTCTATAATTAGTCAGCCAAATTAGGAAGTTTCAGGAAACTAACCCAAAAGGCCCAGAAACCCCAACCCAATTCGCGACCTAGTTGACTCCCACAACATCTTATTTTCTGACGTCGATTATGGCCAACTCCGATGGATTTTTCGACACCACGACCACCATCTTGAAGCTCTCACTTCCCTCTACAAAACCCAACCAAGAACCACCTTGATTAATCACCGTATGTGGAGGTGTGAGGCCACAAAACCCAATGAAACACAATGGTGCTCCGGCCACCCTTTTCCTTTTTCTGGTGAATCTGCCAAGCAATGGCTAACTCCACCACTTGGGTCTTGTAGCCCATCATCCCAGGAGTAAATCCAGACCAACTTTGCCCCCGTCGGATCACTGTAGCCGATAAATTGATGCCGGGAAACTTTGGGCACCCATTGGCCTTATCAACAAATTGACCATCTTCCGTCCACTTTTGGTCTTCGTGGAAGGTATAAAACTTGTTCCTCTTGTTGAGCTCTATCTTCCTGTAAATTTTGGTGGAATTTGGAGTTAATCGAAAAAGTGGGTTTTCGGTTGCCAAAAACCACCACGTGCGGCAGCCCTTGGCCAAAGGGCTGATGCTGTCTTTTTAGGCTAATTTCGATATTCTGAATCCATGTATGATATGCATTTGGTGTGATTCCTTTGTTTGAACCTAGATTTGTGATTGGTAGTCACTTGAATAATTTAGAAAATGGATTAACATTGTGTTGGTGAACTACGAATGACTTGATCCCTGCGTAGGGTACGTAAGCAGTCTAACAAGACGGTTAAATGCAGCCATAAAATAACCCAAATTTATTCTTGTGCTGGATTTCTTTTAAGGAAAGAAATTTATTACGGTTAATAGCGTAAAGATTAACCATGATTCTAATTTTTTTTGGCCTATCACCGAATTTAGCTTCCAATTAAGAATTTTGGGTCGTTACAGTATTCTTGTTCATCAGTCGAACTATACCTGAAGGTGTTGCATCATTTTGATGAGGTTAAAGCAAAATCTTCGAGTACTCATATGGTTGTTCGAACACTAGATGCAAAACGAGATTCTTCCTGTCCTAAAGGTGATGAGGAAGAGGTCTTGAAACCAGAAGTTCCTTACCTTAGTACAATTGGCATATTATTATACTTACTAGACCAAACATATCCTTCACTGTGAATCTTTAAGTGAGATACAATAATGAACTGACACGCAGACAATGGACAAGTGTTAAAGATGTTTTCCATTACCTCGAAGGTACTACATATTTGAGTTTGTTCTATCCGTATAAATCCTCGAGTAGAGTCGCCACCCCCTCGATTCTTGGGTTAATTCTTACCTTGTTGGTTATGCTAACACATGGTATATGTCTGATCTGCACAAGGTACGTCCTCAAACGCATTACATCTTTACCGTTGAAGACACTGCAATATCTCAGAGATCAACCAAACAGACCATAATTGCGACTTCTTCAAGCCATTCTGAAATACTCTCCCTACATGATGCCACTCAGAAGTGCTTTTGGTTGAGAGTAATTGTGGGACATATTCAAAGCACCTGCAAATTCTCTTCCGTCGTTGACATCCTTACAACGATTTATGAAGATAACGCAGCATGTATCAAACATCTTAAGAAGGGATACATCAAAGGAGACAACACCAAGTATATTGTGATGAAGTTCTTTTTCTCTCATCAGCAACAAGAACATTAGAACATTGAAGTCAATCAAATCCGTTCTCAAGTGGCCGTCCTTTTCACTAAGTCATTGCCAAAGTTTACTTTTCAGAAGCTTGTACAAGGAATTGGTATGTGTAAACTTTCTGTGTTGTAACATTGTTAGTTCTCTTTGGAATTGTGTCAAACTCAAGGGAAGTATCTCGAAGTATACTCATTTGATCTTAATGTACTCTTTTTTCCTACGCTTAGGAGCATGTTTCCCTTTGGGTTTTTGCTACATGACTAGGTTTTAACGAGGCACCCATCATGGCTGGTCATACTCTTGTGTACGTCCCATTGGTGTTTAAATTGGCTTTGCATCCAACTCACCGTTTTCCTTAGGGTATTGGTTTTTGTCCCATATTGGGTTTTACCATAGTTGAGTTTTGTGAGACTTATTTCCATATCCAAGGTCTATGTTTGAGACTAGTGCGTTCCTAGATTAGTGTTGACGAGTGGACTTTCTCAACTTTGTCGAACCTGATATTGCATCTACTTGAGTATTTACACACTTAAGAGAGTGAGTGTTATAAATATTATGTAATTGTGAATGTGTTTACCCTAAATAAATTTGGTTTCTATAATCCATTATTCTAGTGATTCTTTTCCTATAGTATTGTACTTATTTGGACGACAAGTTATTCCTATTATCTTGATTTACTATAACTAAAGGCACTGACATAAAGGAAAATCACAACAATCCCCAAACATTCTACAATGTATCCATTCTCTCTCTATATTGCCTCACCCTCTGTCTCCCTATATAACATAGACCACAACGTTAGAAAATTTATCCCAACAATTTAATTTTTTTATTACAAACAAAAAAGTAAAATAAAAAAGGATTCGAAAAAGAAGGTATTTGCATGAAAACTTTGGCTTATTTTTCATTCCCTCCCCAATTCACAATATATAAATCGTGTGATTGTAATTTGTAATGTTAAAACTGATGATGGTTTTACCTTTAGGACCCCCTTTGTAAAGCTGGCCTTCTTCCACTATCAAATTATTACATTAGACATAAACACGAAAAATGCAAGTCGTGATACTCTGTTAATGTTAAGTCGTTTTCAAGATTCTCTAAACCCTAAAATTTAACAGAAGATTAGTAGAGCAGTAAAAGCAGCAAAGAAAGAAATCTTGCATCAGAAGCGCCAGGTTTGCTTTAGAGGACAAGGCAGCATTACGACATTATAATAGATGCCGCGAGCGGAAACATGAGCAAAGCAATATCAGATAAATACCAATCACCGAATCCGATAATACATCATAAGCATCGTCGTTATCGTCGTATTTCGTCAAATGAAGCGTGTAAGTGAGGGTAAGAAAAAGAACCGAATACTACTTATCAAGTACAAACCAATGAAAGACATAACAAGGCTTAGGAGCAGCAGTAGAGGTGATCCCCCGGGCACAGACATTATCAGGCCTTCACACAACAGTTGAAGTAGCTGAAAATACTCCGTCGAGCCTGTTCAGAGAAGAAAACAAATATAAAAACACGACAACGGAACAAAACCAAATGAAAGACTGAATTTGTGAACAATAACCAGGACCAAAATTTGTAATCCCGTTCCCATCTATGATATATCCCTCTAAAAAGAAAGTTTCAAATCCAAACATCATAAGTGAAAAGGGCACTTGATCATCAAGTAGCTGAGTCAAATCCCTTCCTTTCACCATCACTACTTTAGTACTTACTAGGGCCCGACTTATAAAAGTTGGATCCACAATAATTATTTACACACTAATTTGATTACTCTACCTTTTCTTTATTTTTATTTTTTTAACAAACAATATTATCTGCATTAAAAGGGAGAGGGGATGAGCTTAACCTCACAATAGGCTAGCAATAATATGATTCAAATTCGCCTATAGCGAGAATCAAACCTGAGACCTCTCACTTACAAGTGAAGAGGAACACCACTAAACCGTAGTACTAAGTAACACATATTTTCTTTGTTTAGATATGATCAGGTACGATATTCGTGCTACAATAATTCATATGGCCTAAAACAGCTGGTGCATGTGCACCACTTGGACTTGAGTGTAAATATCTCCCCTTGGATCACTCATTCAATTCTTTTTCCAACACACAGAACAATGAGCTGTTATTTTAATATGTTAGAGGTAGAGCATCTCATGCATGTGCAACCACTTTTATGATCGAATGTGTGTAACCTTAATACATTTACTAACAACATTCTATATTATCTATATTAATGGGGTTATCCCAGCAATTTTATGTATATTAAAAATGATTTGTGGATTGCTGGGGTGGTTAGAACTTTCCTCTTCAACCCACTGCATTTAGAGTTCAAATCATGCCCCCTGCTTATAATAAAAACCAAATGAAATAAAAGCTTTACTCTTGTGACCTGTCAAAGATCATGTGACAGTGCGACCGTCAAACACAAAATAAGTTTTTGTATTTTTCATTTTTTTTTGGTTAGTAGGTGTACATGGTCTCTAATCCTGACCTTAGATGATTTAGTTTTCTACCCTGTATTAAACCCCCAAGAAAAATAAAAAATAATATCCATTCTAAGTAATCCTCATGGGAAAACAATCATTTTAAAAGTATGAAAATTGGGATGAAGTTTGAAACATTAATTCTAAAAGTGGTCATGAAATCATCAACTACAGAATAAAAAATGATTACCACAAAGGCGCCATTTGCGCTAATCATCGCTTCTTCTAGTGTTAATGATTATGATCACTTTCAAAATAAACAGAATGAACCTCCTTGACGAGAAGTTTTTAGTGGTGACGAGAATACAAGTGGTACACCATGTGTTTTAATAGAAATGGTGGGAAATTTTATTTTTTAAGTTATTAACTTTTTAGCACACATATCCCACAATTTGTATAGTGATACGTGGTGTACCACCCCGTGTACCGGTCAAATTGAAAAATTTCTCCTCCTTAACCAAATCTGGTGATTTTCTTCTTTAAATATAATAACTACAAAACCAAAAATTCTTCAGATGAATCAATCTTAATCATTCATTTCTCGTGCCAGTCGTTACTATGTACACTATTGAAGAAAAGTTGTAAATGAAAAGTCAATACTATATTAGACAGTTGCTACCGACTCACCTACATTGCCGACTCAACTGGTTTAATAAAAGGGTAGTCCACTCCCCAATCCCCACACATCCTTTCAGTATGCAGAAATAGCATATGCATGCCTCTATCATAACTTTATACTGCTCATAATTCGTAACGACACCAACTCCTCCTCCTGCTATTTGTATATTCAATAATTGCATGGTTAATGCAAGTGGCCATTTACCACGTATAGTCAATTTTGAAAAAAACTTATTGTCAACCTCTTTTAAATATGAATTTGTCTGATTCAGAAGGAAAGAACTTGCATCAGTATTAATTTCAATTCAAACATGCGTTTGATTCACAATCCATGTTTTGAGAAATATTTACCATCCAAAAAGAGGAAAAAACGAGATCTTTGTCTAAAAAAATGTCTTGAGAAATGGTGAATGTATAGAACCTTTTAACGAGATAGTGCTTTTTCAACTCTCTCAGAATGGAATATATTCCTAACATATATGCAGTAGTTGAAAAGAGTTGAGGCTTGTATGATGGCGTTGGTTTGAACCCATTGGTGGCTAATTTAACATCTAAGCTAATAAAATCTATCGTTTGACAAAAAAAAAGAAAAGAAAAAGAAAAAATGCATGTTTAAATACCATACAAAAATAAATAAAATAAAATTGAAGAAGGGGAAAGGGAAAGGAAGCATACAGTTGGAGAGTGGGGGGTCTGATGGTAATGGGGTTCATTGTGAACAGCACCCACTTTAGCAGTGTTTGAGGCAATGAGCTCTTCTTCATTTCCAAGACTGGCTCTCGAAACATCTCTCTTGTTTTGCTTCCTCACTTCCCTTATTTTTGAGAAATCAAGAGAATAGTCTGGCACTTGCCCCTTCTGATCCCAGTCCCCGAATTGTGGCACTGATAACCATGGTGCATTTTTCTGCATTCAATAAACAAACAAACTAGTTAATCGATTCACGTTCGAGGAGCTTAAATTTTGAGATTTGAGTAGCAAATGGATTGGATCAAACTCATCAAACGATAACTAATGTGGCGGTGGTAATGCTCATCGCCCACTCGTAGGTAAGACCAAAAGTGGCTTGAAGAGCCATAAATTAAAGGCTGTGTGGGTTGAGGGAAACATGATATAAAGATTCAATCACACCCAGGTGAAAATTTAGCCATTTATTGAAGTGAATAACGAGAAAGAGTTGTGGAAGACCAAGCCAACGGATGGCGGACTTTATAAGATTTTGGTTAATGTGATAAATTTGACTGTTTCTAAGCATGAAACCTCAAAAACCAATTCAACTCCCAAGTTATTTTTACCAGAATTAAGCACAAGGAAAATGGTCCGATAACTACTTAATTAATTAACTAAAACCATATTCATAGATCTCATTAATTTTCTCAGCAATTTCAAGCTAATCAACCAATTAAACAAATTTCAAAACAACCCCCAATTCCTTGGCAACAAAAAATCAAAGCCCAAAAAACGTTTATGCTCTGTTTGGCTACCCAGAAAACGCAGGAAAACAGAACATACTATGTTTCTGAATCCACAGCAGAGCTATTTACACAAGTCAAGAAAATTGGCCACTTGGGTTTTTCTCAGTTTCTCCTCCTGCAAGAAAAACGAACCTAAATATGCACACACCCGAACAATCCTTTACTTCTTCCCACAGTTTATAATTTTCCCAGAAACCAAACAACGAATAGAGAAAAAGAGAAGAAGAGAAACACCTCCTTACGATCCTCCATGAGATAAAGACTCGTCTCAGATCCTCACAAAAACTTTTCCACCTTTATAATTTTCAAGATATGTAAAATAATACAACGGAAAATAATTAAAAATATACTAGAAAACCAAGAAAAGTTGAGAGCTTTGGTGAGAGGGAAAGCAGAGGAGAGCGGAGTGTGCGTGTTTCTGATGTGTATCAAACCTTTAAGAGTACCAAGACAACACGGCAGACAAATCAGACATGCTGTAAATGCGTTTACGATACTAGCCCTATTCTTGTCTGTCATTTACATAAATGCCACTTTCCTGACGCACTAGTAGGCTGGCAATTCTTAACACGATTCGATAACTCGACACGACACGACACGACACGATACGAAATTAACAGGTTTTTGGATCGACATGATAATGAATCGGGTCGTTATCGGGTAACCTGATAAGCACCTGTTAAGATAATGAGTTAGTTTGGGTATATACGTAGGTAACACGATACACGATAAGCAGAATATTAATTTAATAATTTTATAACCCTAAAAAATACTATAATTATATATATAATTATATTAAATTAACTATAATAATTATAATAATTATACCCCCAAAATATTAACTATAATAATTATATATATATATATATATATAATTTTAAATTAAATTTTATACCCTGAGAAACTATAATAATTATACATACAAAATAAATAGATTTAAATCTACTTAATAAATATATATATATCATTGAACTTGATGGGATACGAATTATACGAAACTAATTTCAACGATCCAACCACAAACTTGTTTGTATATGCTTCGAGATCGCATCATTAAAAAGTCGCAAAAAACAAACATTCAGATATCAAGTAACCGAACAAAACTTTTCGACGGTTATAAAATGAAAAATCACGATTTAACAGTTATTTTAACTCTGATATTTATGATTTTTACAGCTACACTCCTTGATCCTATATGAATACAATGAATGAATTCGATCTTCAATTTAAAATATTTGCGCTAGCGGATACTACAAAATCCTATGTTATACTTAATGAAAGTATGAATAAACGCTTAAGTGTTAGTGAATCTATTGTTTTGATGGGATACGCATTTTACCAAACTAGTTTCAATGATCCAACCGTCAAACATGTTTGTATATACTTCAAGATTGCATACACCAAAAATTGCAAAAAACAAACATTCAAAGATTAAGTAATCGAACAAAACTTTTCGACGGTTATAAAACGAAAAATCACGATTTAACGGTTATTTTAACTTCGATTTTGATGATTCTTTACAGCTACACTCCTTGACCCTATATGAATACAATGAATGAATTTGATCTTCAATTTAAAATATTTACACTAGTAGATACCACAAATGTTATACTTGATGAAAGTATGAATAAACTCTTTAAGTGTTAGTGAATCTATTGTTTTGATGAGATACGCATTTTACGAAACTAGTTTCAACGATCTAACCGTCAAACATGTTTGTATATACTTCGAGATCGCATACACCAAAAATACCAAAAACCAAACATTCAGTAATCAAGTAACGGGACAAAACTTTTTTACGGTTATAAAAAGAAAAATCACGATTTAACGGTTATTTTAACTCCGATTTTGATGATTCGTTACAGCTACACTCCTTGACCCTATATGAATACAATGAATGAATTCAATCTTCAATTTAAAATATTTACATTAGTGAATACCACAAAATCTTGTTATACTTAATGAAAGCATGAATAAACTCTTAAGTGTTAGTGAATCTATTGTTTTGATGGGATACGCATTCTACAAAATTAGTTTCAACGATCCAACCGTCAGACATGTTTGTATATACTTCGAGATCGCATACGCCAAAAATTGCAAAAAACAAACATATAGAGATCAAGTAACATGACAAAACCTTTCGACGGTTATAAAAAGAAAAACCATGATTTAACGGTTATTTTAACTCCGATTTTGATGATTTTTTACAGCTACACTCATTGACCCTATATGAATATAATGAATGAATTCGATCTTTAATTTAACATATTTACACTAGTGGATACCACAAAATCTTATGTTATACTTAATGAAAGTATGAATAAACTCTTAAGTGTTAGTGAATCTATTGTTTTGATGGGATACGCATTCTACGAAACTAGTTTCAACGATCCAACCGTCAAACATGTTTTTATATACTTCGAGATTGCATATGCCAAAAATATCAAAAAACAAACATTCAGAAATCAAGTAACGGGACAAAACTTTTCGACGGTTATAAAACGAAAAATCACGATTTAACGGTTATTTTAACTTCGATTTTGATGATTTTTTACAGCTACACTCCTTGACCCTATATGAATACAATGAATGAATTCGATCTTCAATTTAAAATATTTACACTAGTGGATACCACAAAATCTTATGTTATATTTGATGAAAGTATGAATAAACTTTTAAGTGTTAGTGAATCTATTGTTTTGATGGGATACGCATTATACGAAACTAGTTTCAATGATCCAACCGTCAAACATGTTTGTATATACTTTGAGATCGCATACGCCAAAAATATCAAAAAACAAACATTCAGAAATCAAGTAACGGGACAAAATTTTTCGACGGTTATAAAACAAAAAATCACGATTTAACGGTTATTTTAACTTCGATTTTGATGATTTTTTTGCAGCTACACTCCTTGACCCTATGAATACAATTAATGAATTTGATCTTCAATTTAAAAAATTACACTAGTGAATAACACAAAATCTTATGTTATACTTAATGAAAGTATGAATAAACTATAATAATTATATATATTAATTTAACAATTTTATATCCCTAAAAAGTAAAATAATTATATATATATATATATATATATATATATTAAATTGTGCGTTTTAATGTTTTGAAGTAATATTTATGTGGCAAAATGTGGTATGTGCAAATTTAAGAAAAAAATATATTTTTCATAACAGGTCGGGTCACTTTACCCGTTGGGTAAAGTGACCCGACCTGTTAAGGATCTGTTAAGATAACAGGTGTGACACGACACGACCCATTAAGATAACATGTGTTACACATAAACGACACGAACACGACTGACACGACCCGTTTGCCAGGCCTACTCTCTAGGTTTTTCGGTCAATGCTTTTGCTTCTCTGCCTTTGCTTTGTAAGTTTTGGCTCTCTGCTAAAGGTCTCCAAAAAAAAAAAAAAGATCTGATTTGCTTAAAAATTTATTTTCAATCAAAGAGATTAAGTATAACATCCTCAATAATTTATCATTTTTTAGTTTATACTTTCAATTTATTGGTTAATTCAATTAAAGATGTTTTCAAATCTAGCCGTTGAATTTGAATTAAATTATTGCAACTGAAGAGCTTGACCCCAAAAAAGGGGCTAAGAGGGGGCAACGTTTGGCCAGCTAGATGCCCCTTTGATCAAATAATAGCATGGTGGGTTTTATAGAATTATAGTATAACTATCGGTTGGAGATGAGTTTTTGGACAAATTAGACAATTTTTTGACTTTTAAACCTTTAGCCCTCTCCATTGATTGTTCTTTGTATAATTTTTCTTGTGGATTGATCAATCAGTTACATCTTCGTTCATATATATATATATATATTTTTTTTTTTTCGACCAATCATGCAACTATAAATTTGTTTATTTTTTTAATCTTTCTCGTGTAAATTTGGTTTGGCTCACTTAGTGATTTCTGTTCTTAAGGATTGAATGCTCAAGCGATGAATGTTGAAGGTGTTATTGCTTTATAATTTTCAACCTTAGTTTTTGTATTCAGAAATCTTATTCATCGTTACGTTTCTAAGGAATTTTTTTGGTTAATTTGTAATTTTCTTCTTCTTCTTTATATGATAGATTCATTTTACTATGTTTACAAGTCATGGCCATGGCAGACTCGAGAGGAAGAACATACCATGAAGGCAACCATTATGAACATGATATGAATTAAACCATTTGCCTATTTAATTCAAATTAAAATGGCAGACTAAAGTGGAAGGACATACATTCTGTTTGGGTTAATATTTGAATATTAGGATGCAAATGTGTGGAAGCCCAGAAATGCCAATTAGAGAGGAGACTTGCTCGAGGCCCAAGCATCAAGTCTAGAGACAAATTGGCGCCTTCCTATTAATGCATAGGCCATGTGCCTATGATTTAAATGTCAAGTGTTGGGGACTAACTCACAATCAGCCAAATAACACTTTTCAGTGGCAATACAAGTAAAAAGCTGATGACTCACTGCCCTCCAAGTGTTTTCGGGCAAGAACAAAGTCGTTACAGTCGGGCTAATTTGCCTATAAAAGGAGGAAGAGGCCCTAGAAATAAGGACACTCAACCAATCAAACAAGTAAACATACAAACTCTGCTCTCAAGCCAGATTTGCATCTAAAAGCTGTAATTAGCCCAGATCTCAATCCTTTTCAAGATATCCATCACAAAAGCAATCTTTTGTCTTGTTTAGAAGCTCTGCTATCACACTTAGTGGCGTAGTATCGATTTCCTTGTGTAAACTGGTTTACCATCCATCCCTGTTTAGCATAGAAACCTCTGTAAACTCAAAGAGAAGTGTTTCCAAGAAGATCAACCTTGGCTGACAAGGTGAAATCTTGCTTAAAGTTCTTTGTGCGTTTTTCTAAGATAATAGATCTACTACTTAATGTATTCTCTAGCATGTATTCAAGTCATTTCTGCCTATTTTCCTACTTTAAAAGTCTTATTTGTATCTGGATTTGGTCAGTTTAATGAATATGCTTTCATTTAAAACCAATCAAGAACCAAACAAATGACTTAAGGGATCTATTCCCCTCATTCGAATATATATGACTATGAACTGAAAGTCCTTGGTCACAAAGCAAGGAAAAGAACTTAATGTGGACTTAACCCATCCGCGACAATCTTTTGATAACAAGAAGTCCGAGTAACTTGGGGGGCAAGTAATCGACTAAACACAATTTTGTTCTACATTGGCTATACTGAGATAACAGTGGCACACCTAGCACTTAGTTAGTTTTGATTGCGAGCCTCAAGGTCTACACCTAAGGCCCTACAAAGGGGCATTTCAAAACTAACTCTGTTCTCTTCTTGCAGCACATCAGCAAGCAAGAGCTCGACTACACATCCAAAGTGTCAATCCTTTGGGGAGCTGTACTGAGTGCCGATGGGCCATTTTCGGAGA